GTACTTTATCAACATTCTTCTCATAACAAATCCCCCACTGAAACCAAACCACAGCTGTTCCAGCTACTGAGAAGAAAATTAACTCCATCCCAGCAAAACCAGGACAGTGCTCAGCTGGGATTCATTCAGTTTCTGGCTCTGTTGCAGATTCTCTCTGTGTCTTTCTTCCCCATCAACTGTGAAGGCATCTTAGGGAGCGTTTTGAGTGCTAATGCTGTGGTGCTGATAAAATATAATTTCTGTGAGGCTAACCTGCTTGTTGGGAAGGATGTTGAACCATGTAGCTACTATTTGGAACAGGCTGGGCTCAATGGCTTACTGCTAATTGAGTAAGTAAGATCAGAATTAGAACTGCTAACCACTCTTCTAGGACAGAGCAAAAGACTGGGATTATAGTGCTAAAAATTGCTCCGGGGGGGGGGGACGACACACGGACTTGGATTCTCTGCTAAGTTGCTACCTCACAGTGCCTAAAATCCTGACCCCTGAGTCTCCGCTCACGTTCAGGGGTCCAGTTCTGTGTATGCCTGAGCTACTGGTGTTGACAAGTTTCCTGAGCACAGAATTGTGTTCCCAAGCTGCATTGATTGAGGGCTGGAGCAGCTCTGCTGTGAGGACAGGCTGAGAGAGTTGGGGCTGTTCAGCCTGGAGAACAGAAGGCTCCAGGGAGACCTTCTAGTGGCCTCCCAGTACCTGAAGGGGCTACAAGAAAGCTGGGGAAGGATTTTTCATAAGGGCAGTTAATGACAAAACAAGGGGAAATGGGTTTAAGCTGAAAGAGGGGAGGTTTAGATGAGATATTAGGAAGAAGTTCTTCACTGTGAGGGTGGTGAGCCAGTGTCCCAGGTTGGGCAGAGAAGCTGTGGCTGCTCCTCCCTGGAAGTGTTGAAGGCCAGGCTGGATGAGGCTTTGAGCAACCTGGTCTAGTGGAAGGAGTCCCTGCTGATGGCAGGGGGGTTGGGACTGGATGATCTTTAAGGTCCCTTCCAACCCAAACCATTCTATGATTGATGGAAAACACGTTGCTGGCACATGTGTATTGTGGCAGAGTGGGATGTGTCAATATCTCATTGAAGGTGCTGTTGCTCTTTGTTATATTTATTAACCTGGATCTAACTTGGGTTCTTTCATTCTGCTCCCTCCATTCTGCAACTGCAGGGCTGGGTGGGAGAGCAAACCGGAGGGGTTTCCAGTTGGCTTGAACTGATAGTCTTTCATCTTCCTTCAGAAACTGAACTCCAGTTTGATTGGAGAGAACTCTTGATTTGTGAAAGCGTGTCTCTTTTTATCCTGGTTGCTTTAACTCCTCCCGATGCCCCTGGGAGTGGAGTGGTTGCCTGGTACTCAGAGGAACTGTTGTCTTGGATGTCACCACGGCTGGGAGATGTGTGTGGAAGCAGCAGTCAATGTGTGCAAAGGGCAGCATGCTGGGTGCTGAGGGTTTGGCTTGGGTTGATGTTTTTGTTTTGTTTTCTCCCATCCCTCCTTTCCCACTGCAGAGCCCTGATGCTCTTTGCCAGATCAGGCTCCTAGTGACCGTGAGATAATGGGCTTAGCAGACGCCTTCCCTTCTGTGCAGATGTCTCCTTTCCTCCAAACCCAGCTGGGTCGCTGTGTGAAAGGCTGAAGCAGACATGCCTTTGAGCCCTGCTTGCCCTCAGGGCCTAGTTTAGTGCTGTGGAATCGGACACAGAAGGGACAGGACACCAAAAAACACTGCAGATGGCACTAGGCCACCAATTCCCTAATGGACACAGTGTCTGTCTTGCTCACCTGAGATGTGACTGACATTCACAGCAGAGCTGGGATCACTTAGCTGGAAAGCACCAATGTTCCTGGTTTTTGGCACTTTTGCTTACAGGCAGATAACTTTTTTAATATCAGAAAAAAATAAGATGCTTACTAGAAAAGCTCCAGTGGAAGAAGTTTTGAAATTTGTTTAGCCATAAGCTCAAAGCTTCTTCCTTGTTTGCTTTGTTAATCTACATTTTCACCAGTCCTGCTTTGGCCAGTGAAACAAGATCTACTGCAGAAGTGTGAGGCCTTACCCAGACACGTGTGATCTTCCTTTATAACACATCTGAGAGATGAGGATAGCTGTTTGCAATGAGGGCTAAGACACCGAATTTCCATGACTTGTATAAAACTGCCTGTAACAGCATTTCATTTTGAGTTACATATCAGCCAGTGGGGAGAAACTTCTGAGTCAAGCTGCGAATTGAGCTTTTCTGTGCCTTATTTTGTAAAGGAGGCTGGTTTTGCTAGGATTTCATGGTGCCTTTTTCTTTCTCTCGTTGCAGGTGAGGCTGGCGCCAGTATTATTCGAGTCTCAAAAGAAGCCCGGAAGAGGTTTTTGGGCCCACTCCACCCATCTTTCAACTTGGTGAAGATCATTCGCATCTGCCTGTCCAAGACTGTGCCAGAGAACGGGCATGAGGTTGCAGCAGGTCGCTTGGGTATCTCCCTGACACGGGTCTCCGATGGAGAAAACGTCATACTGTCAGACTTCAATTCCAAGGAGGAGCTGATCCAGGTGAATGGAAGGTCATCACAGAAGGCCAGGCAGGAACTGCGTGGGGTTTTGTTTTGCCTTGATCCCCAGATGTCCTTAGTAATGGTGTATAATTGTCAACACACGTCAGTGTGGTGTTCTGAGAAGATTCAGCAGGCTTTGATCTGCTTTTTACATTCTGGATCTTTCTCCCTCAGGCCTGTGTCTGCAGCACCTTTATCCCTGTCTACTGTGGGCTGATACCTCCAACCTTGCGTGGAGTGGTAAGTAAGACTCTAAGATGCTCCTTCATTAAATCATGTACTAATGAATAAGAAGGCAGAAGGGCTGGTACTCACTTTTGGCAGGCTCATTGCCTGTCTGCTGGCAGCAAATAGACTGAAGAGGGATGAGAAATTCCCAAATAAACAACTTCCAAGAGCGGATGTGCCTTCTGCGCACTGCTGCCTGCAGTTGGCTATAAATGTCCCAAAGACTAGAGGATTTAAGGTGACAGTAATGCATAGCAATCTGGGCAAGTGCTGGCTGCCTTAGCAGATGGTTCTCCTTCTCTCTGTCACCGAGACTCCAACCCTCTGCGTGTGGAAAGAACTTGGGTCCAGGATAGAAATCACGAGTGTAGTCCCTCTCCCATGTGCCTGACGTGGGGTTTTAACTAGTGGTGCTGATACCAGACCATTTTTTCATGGAGTTCTTCCTGTCATTCCACTGAAAATAACATTCTTCTGCCTGCTAGAGCTTTTTTTTTAACATCCTGTCCAAGGCTGGCTGGAGCAGTTTCTCCCTTCTGTGTTTGTGTGTGAGAAATGAAAATATTTGAAAGCAGCACAGAGCTGGAGTGTCTCTGAATACTGCAGTCAAGCTTAAGGGCCTCAGTTGAGCTTGGACTCTCCTTGTGCTATATAGGTTAATGCACACATTAAAAGGTAGTTTGTTTGCAAACTAAATAGTCAAAAGGAAGAACAAGAACTGCTGTTAATGTGTGTGCACCCTGGTTTCCCACAAGTGACCTGACCAAGGTGCCTCAGTCTCGGAGCATGGCATCAAATCTACTCCTACTGCTGCCTGTGTCCTAAAAGTGAGGTCAGTTTTGCTCCTGCATAATATACAACTCGCCTGGTTTAGTCTTGTGCAAGCACGTTGGGCAGGGAGGTGACCTAGACAACATGTCCAATGTCCAGCCCTTCAGAGAAGTGACAGAATCAGTAACAGTTTGGCTTTTGCTCAACCACTGCAGGCAGGGTCTTTGTCCCGCAGCTGGTGAGAGTGTAACAGTGGCCCTTTGGGGCTAGTTGAGGTCAGTGTGGACCAGGCAAAATCTCAAAATTCCAAACCCGTGTACAACATCAGGGTGTCTGGAATGTGCAGCTGCCCTGGCACACTGAGAGATGACTTCTCATGTGAGGATTCCTCATGGGGAAAGGTAGAGAGGGAATATGTGAGATGAGGAAATGAATTCCTACCTCTTCACCAGAAAATCATGGCTCTTTATGTCTCTGAAGGGGGACTGGCGAGGGGAGGGGTTAAATCAGGTTGGGTATGAGCCTGGGAAAAAGCTTTGAAATGAGACTGCATGGTTCCTAGCATGCCTGTGATGACTGCATTTGCCACAGGACAGACTGACAGGCCTGGCATGAGGACCAGTTTTCAAGGCAATATGATTGTGTGCAAGGTGATATTCTGCATTCCTCCTAATCTTTTTCCAGTGCTCACTTCTCTGAGCTCTTGTCGCCCCATGGAGTGGATGATGGAGATGGGAGGAGGGGAAAAAAAAAAAAGAATTCTCAAATACTGAGAAATGGAAGGGTTCATAACTGACCTGTCAACACATGCTGGCTGTGAGCTGTCTGTGTCATACGGGTGAGATGAACCCCCAGCAAAGGTCATAGAATCACAGACTGGTTTGGGTTGGAAGGGACCTTAAAGCTCATCCAGTTCCAACCCCTCTGCCAGCAGCAGGGACACCTTCCACTAGACCAGGTTGCTCAAAGCCTCATCCAACCTGGCCTTCAACACTTCCAGGGAGGAGCAGCCACAGCTCCTCTGGCCAACCTAGGACACTGTCTCACCACCCTCACACCAAACAATTTCTTCCTCACATCTCATCTCCATCTCCCCTCTGCCAGTTTCAAGCCATCACCCCTTGTCCTGTCACTCCCTGCCCTTGGCCAAAGTCCCTCCCCAGCTTCCTTGTAGGCCCCTTCAGGTACTGGAAGGCAAAAAAGCAAATTGTCAGCTCATGTGAGTGAGGGCCCCTATGAGGGTGTGGACATGTGAAGGGAATGGAACTGGGCACCCCAGAGTTGACCCCAGTTCACGACCCATCCCCAGAAGCTGCTTGTGCTTATGTCTGCAGGCAGCTGAGGGCTCCAGCCTGTGGCTCTGTGCTGTTAGGGGCTTTGCAGGAGGTTGGAGAGTCATTAGTCTCGGGTGGCTGGAGGTTCAGACAAATCTAGAGAGTAAGGAATGTAATCAGCAGTGCTTGGAGAATGGTGGACCAGAGAGCGAGGTCTGCATGGATGTTCCTAGATTTCCCTGCGGTAAGAAGGCTCTGCCTGTCAGCCTCATTGCAGTCAAGTCTTCTTTCCAACGGCATCCGCTCACTCATGCCGCCACCCTCAGGGAAACGTGTGTTTCTACATCCTGACTGCAAAACTCGTGTTGACTTTCGTTAAGTGGTCAAAACACACCTCCATCTTCTTTAAACAAAGTGGGTGTCTGGCACTGTGCTGCCTGCTTTGCTTTGTCCTCATCCCACTCAGCCTGTCCTGGTTGCATCCTTGAAGAGAGAGTCAGCCAGGGTCTCCAGCTCTCTGTGCCTCATCTGGCTTTTGGTGGAGCAGCTTTGGGGAGATGATAACAATGACAGTTTGCTGTGGTTGCTTTTGGCTTAGGGAAAACTGATGCTCACTTTAAAAGGGGGTGAAGATTCAACTGATTTTTGGCACCCCTGTTGTCTAGAAAGCATCCTGTAAGCACGCTGAGTGTCCCTGTTTCCAACAGGGTGTACTTTTCCTTGAGTCCATTCTATCCCATCCTTCCATGTTCTTTGCTGCCCTAACCCAGGTGGTGCAGGAGTCACTAACCATGTCTGTCTTGGTGAACAGTGCCTGACATGAGGCTGAAATGGCCCGTGCTGAGTTAGTGCTGCTGTAGCCTGCAGCTGTAACCACAAACCATCTCCCTTGAACCTGTAGGCTGTAAGCAGTGGTAGCTCCGAGGTTTAGTTTCATAGAATCATAGAATGGTTTG